TTAAGCAGATAAACAGAGTGATTACTTATGATGAGCAAACTTCTGGTTCCAGGGTCAAAGGCTCTGGTGTTTCTCCGTGTGTGTGTGGGGGGGGGGGGGGGAGGGGAGGGGGCTCTATTGATAATACAGTGAAAAAAAATGTAGTGATTCTGTAGTAAAAATGCATTATTTCTTTAAAACCTTCCCTGCACCTGGGCATGTCAGAGGCAAAAAGAGTAGAAGTTTTAATAAGGAAGGGTATTTTACCAGATTTTTGAACATCTGGACCTATTTTAAATTTGTATTCTACTGACAGGAGTTATTCCCCTTTGCCATTTACTTTTGATAATTAATCACTGTAAATAATTTACTTGACAGGTTAATAGAATAAGAGAATTATGCAAGATTTTTTATTGTATAATACAAAAAAGTACTTTCATAGTTTTAATGATCAGGTACTACAGACTTGTAAGTATTAGATAAATAAAAATGAGACAAAAATAGCTTGTCTTATTAAATGTTCATCAAACACCAAGAGAGGCCAATGTAAGAGATTTCAACAAGGAATTAAAATAGTACAGAAGCACTGATAGTTTGTTAATATACTGTATGGTGATAGTGATAAATTGGGAACAGATTAGAAACTAATTTATGAACTGTTAATGAATACTAGACTAATTATTTTGTTGATCCTGATCACTCTATTTTTCTTGCATTTGGGCAACAAAGCTTCACCTTTCAGTTCATTTTATACTCTATGGATCCTCTAAATTAATTGTTGTATTATACTCAGGTGACCGTTAAGGCCCTTGGGCCTCTTGTTCATTAATCTACATGTATGTGTCATTCTCCATATAATCTATAAATACTGTTAACATGGGTTTATTTAAGGAATCACTGTCTAGTTTGTAGAGTATGCCAGGGCATCAACGATAGTTGGAAACGTGGGATAATTTGCATAACGGGCGAAGCCCGTTATGCATAAATTATCCCACGTTTCCAACTATCGTTGATGTCCCTGGCATACTCTACTAACTAGACAGTGATTCCTTATATTTCCATTTCATTTTGAAATAAAAATGTAAATTTAGATTTTAGAAATGTAGACTAATAGATTTAAATTACACGAGGCCTCACATGTCAATTTCAATAGTCCCCGCCCACTTACGTCAAACACAAAGACAGCCGCACGAGAATTACAGGCCTCCTTAGAGTCTGACACAAAGACAGCCGCACGAGAATTACATGCATATTAGGCCTTCTTAGCTACTGACCTTTCGCTTGGCAAAATTTGCATTCCTTTAGAATGATCAAGAAATCAACTCTCCTAACTTTCAAAGAGTTATCACAGAGAAAACAAATAGAAATGGAAATATATGTATGTATATGATATACTGGTAGATTTATAAGGACTGACCATCCATTTTTGTCTCGTCATAATCTTGTAATACTGCTACAAGTTGTATTAGACGTATGTCTTCTGCAATAAAGAAATTGAAATTGTTTGTGATTACTGAAAGGTGATCATTTTTTAGGTCACCTGAGTCACTCAGGTGACCTATTGCTATCTGTTTTTGTCCGTCGTCGTGCGTTATGCGTCGTGCGTTAACTTTTGAACATTTTTAACTTCTTCTCTAGAACCGCTCAACCAATTTCAACCAAATTTGGTATATAGCATCTATAGGTGAAGGGGAACAAAAATTGTGAATTTCATGGTCCCTGCCCCCCTGGGGCCTGAGGGGTGGGGCTAAAACCACCAAAAATAATGCAATCTTTAAAAATCTTCTTCTTTACTCCTGGACATCAAGCAGTCAAACTGTTGGCATCATTGTAATAAGCATTGAGCCTTCTACCAAAATGGTGAAATTCATGGCCCCAGGGTCAGGGGTTCTGGCCCCAGGGTGGGGCTATATAGATCATATAGTGAAAGTGCATTATTTCTTTGAAAATCTTCTTCTCTGCTCCTGGATATTAAATAAAGTTACTAAGTACATAGTTATGATGAGCAAGAGTGCCTCTTCCAAAATTGTGAAATTCATGGCCCCAGGGTCAGGGGTTCTGGTGTTAGGGCGGGGCTCTATAGATTATATAGTGAAAATGCATTAATTCTTTGAAAATCTTTTTCTCTGCTCCTGGGTATTAAATAAAGTTACTAAGTACATAGTTATGATGAGCAAGAGTGCCTCTTCCAAAATTGTGAAATTCATGGCCCCAGGGTCAGGGGTTCTGGTGTTAGGGCGGGGCTCTATAGATTATATAGTGAAAATGCATTAATTCTTTGAAATTCTTGTTCTCTGCTCCTGGGTATTAAATAAAAGAACTAAGTACATAGTTATGATGAGCAAGAGTGCCTCTTCCAAAATTGTGAAATTCATGGCCCCAGGGTCAGGGGTTCTGGTGTTAGGGCGGGGCTCTATAGATTATATAGTGAAAATGCATTAATTCTTTGAAAATCTTTTTCTCTGCTCCTGGGTATTAAATAAAGGAACTAAGTACATAATTATCATGAGCAAAAGTGCCTCTTCCAAAATTGTGAAATTCATGGCCCCAGGATCAGGGGTTCTGGTGTTAGGGCGGGGCTCTATAGATTATATAGTGAAAATGCATTAATTCTTTGAAAATCTTCTTTGCTCCTGGGTATTAAATAAAGTAACTAAGTACATAGGTATGATGAGCAAAAGTGCCTTTTCAAAATTGTGAAATTCATGGCCCCAGGGTCAGGAGTTCTGTTGTTAGGGCGGGGCTCTATTGATTATATAGTGAAAATGCATTATTTCTTTGAAAATCTTCTCCTCTGCTCCAGTGCATTAAGGTGATAAACTAAGGACATAGTTATGATGAGGAGGTGGGCCTCTTCCAGAATTGTGAAATTCATGGCCCCTGGGTCAGGGGTTCTGGTGTTAGGGTGGGGCTCTACTGATTATATAGTGAAAATGCTTTAATTCTTTGAAAATCTTCTTCTCTGCTCCTGAGTATTAAATAAAGTTACTAAGTACATAATTATGATGAGCAAGAGTGCCTCTTCCAAAATTGTGAAATTCATGGCCCCAGGGTCGGGTTTCTGGTGTTAGGGCGGGGCTCTATTGATTATATAGTGAAAATGCATTGATTCTTTGAAAATCTTCTTCTCTGCTACTGGAGACTATTTAAACAAACTAAGTGCATGGTTATGATGCATAAGGATGCCTTTTTAAAAATTGTGAATTTCATGGCCCCAGGGTCAGGGGTTCTGGTGTTAGGGTGGGGCTCTATTGATTATATAGTGAAAATGCATTGATTCTTTGAAAATCTTCTTCTCTGCTACTGGAGATTATTTAAACAAACTAAGTGCATGATTATGATAGACAAGGATGCCTCTTCCAAAATTTTTAAATATATGGCCTCAGTTTTTGGGGTTCTTGAGGAGGGGGGGGGCTCTATTGATTATATAGTGAAAAAGCATTAATTCTATTAATTAATCCTGTCTGCTCCTTAGTGTTGAGCTGATAAATAAATTGCTTAGCTATGATGAAAATGGGAGCTTTGAACAGAATTTTTAAATCTTGTGGTCCTAGGGTCAGGGGTTCTGGCATAACGAAAGGGGGGGGGGGCTTTTGATAACATAGTGGAAAAGTGTTAATTCTTTGAAGTCCATAGTTATGATGACGAGGGTAACTCTTCCAAATTTGTAAATTTCTTGACCCTTGGTCTTGGGTTCTGGTGTTGGGGTAAGGCTTTGTTGAATCTGTAGTGAAAATGCTTTGTACCTGTGAAATTCTTCTCTGCTTCTGGGCATATCGGAAGCAAACTGAGTAAAAGTTTAAATGATATGAGTAAGTGTATGTCTACCAGATTTTTAAACATCTGGACCATTTGTCTAAGCATTCTGGTCCTGGGCAGGGCTCTATTAATTTGTATTCTACTGAGAGAAGTTATTCCCCTTTTCCATTCACCTTTGATAATTAATCACTGTAAATAATGTATTTGAAAGGTTAATAGAATAAGATAATTATGCAAGAATGTTTATCGTATAATTAAAAAAGTACTATCTTAGTTTTAATAATCAGGTAGACCTGTAAGTAATAGATAAATAAAAATGAGACAAAAATAACTTATCTTATTAAAAGTTCTTCAAAGACCATAAGAGAGGTCAATGCTAGAGGTCTTAATATGGGTTTAAAAATAGTACAGAAGAACTAATAGTTTGTCAATAGTCTGCATGGTGATAGTGTTAAGTGGGGGACAGATTAGAACTTAATTTATGAGTTGATACTGAATACTAGACTAATTATTTTGTTGATCCTGATCTTCCTACTTCTCTTGCTTTAGGGCACATTGCTTCATCTATCAGTGTATTTAACTTCGAAATTGTTGTATTATACTCAGGTGACCGTTAAGGCCCTTGGGCCTCTTGTATTAATGTGCAGTATGTATTTAGCAAAAGTTGAAATTGTACACAGTATGTTTACACTGAGGTGATCTGTTTGACAGTGGATGAGTTATTTTTAGGTAAAATCAAGGTTGACTAGAGACTGGATAAAGTTGTTTTATACATTATCAAAGTTAACAAAGAATCACAGAGAACAAGTGTGACTTGTTGTAATTAGTAACAAGTGGCAAATAGCAATGTTATATAGCCAAGTCTCTGTGTACTGAATTGTAACACTAGGCAAGTGACATATATTGAATACCATACATTATTATTACGGCAAGTGTTCATTGTATTTGTATATTTCCCATTCATTATTTTCCCTTTAAGGCTTGGGAAAACCAAGTATGATCCCAAAGAGATCACTCAGGTCTAGCACGCTAAAATAAGCAAGGGTTTTTTAACCAGATTTTTTAAATTCTTGGGCAACATTGCTTAATCGTCTATCAGTTAATTTTGTTGTATACTTCTATGGATCCTTTACAGTGTTGTATTATACTCAGGTGACCATTAAGGCCCTTGGGCCTCTTGTAAACTGTCTAGTCTAACAGGAAAAAAATATTGTCTTAATCATAACAGGCATAACTCTTCACTGTTTTTACTTCTTTTCCAGCTTTAGTTATTCTTGTGTACTGCCTGGAGGTCTCATCCAAAAAGCTGGACTTGGGAGATAGATTTGCACATAAGCTAAATAAAATAATGATGTCAGTGAAGGAATTAGAAGAGCTGGACAATAAGCATCGTTTCTACAGTGTGTACAAGGAATTTGATAGTTTTCAGCTAGGAAATCTAGAGCAGACCATTAGAGAATATTTAAAAACATTCTAGGTATTGTTAGTATACAGTAAAACCTCGTTATCTCGAACTCGATGGGACCAAGAAAAAACTGAGAAATATCCAAGGATTCAAGATATCGAGGGTAAAATACTTTAAGAATGAGTAGTTGGGACTTCTAAATCACTTTGACATATCCATGGTGTTCAAGATATCAGTGTTCTAGATACCGAAGTTCAACTGTATATTGTAAAATGTTTCATAATTTCTGTACTCAGGGTAAGATTAAAATAAGGCAACATTTGCATTGAGGCATACATTGTAATTTTGAAGTAGTGATTCTAAAAACAAACATTATACAATTATTGCTGTACGATGATTTAGCCACCTGAGGAGTACAATATATTTCGGGTGATATGTATATGCCTCAGGTGGTTAAATCATAATTGACCTCAAAAACAGCAATAATTGTTTTATTTATTATATGATTTAATGATCAACTGATACCAAATCATTAGGCAAATCATGCCATCTTTCTTCTAAACATTTGCTGAAGTCTTAGCCAAATGCAGTGAGAGAAGAGGGGTTAAATGTATTAATTTGAAAATTCTCAATCGATGGTGAAAATTTTTGTTCAGAAAACTTAGCACCCCCTCCCTGCACCTCCCGTTTGGGTGCAAATGAAATAGTTTGAAAGTTCTCAGTCTATTTTTAGTCCATCATGGAAAAAAAAAAACAGTTATACAGTTGAACTCCGGGATCTCGAACACAGATATCTCAAATACCATGGATATGTCTAAATCATTTTGAAGTCCCATCTGCTTATTCCTTAAGCATTTTACCCTGGATATCTCGAATCCTGGGTTATCTCAAAGTATTTTCTGGGTCCCTTTGAGTTTGAGATAATGAGGTTTGACTGTATTATCTGGAAGGTCACTTGCAGGTGTACATAATGTAGTATTTTTCTACAATGTTTGAACTCAGCCAATCAGAGAGCTATGAATTATACCAGTCTTCACGAAAACTTTTCAAACTTACTGACCAGTCGGGCCAGTGAACTTTAAAATTTTACTGGCCCACCAAAACTTTTACTGGCCCCCTTAATTAAAAACAAAATGAATACATAATTATAAATTAATCCATGCTTGCATGAATATGCTTAAGTACTTCAACTTCAGAAACACTGCCATTTTTCGCCCTTTGTCGTGTTTTGGTTAGTTGTTCGTAGGATACTCGCACATTTTATGTACTAGTTAATAGTTACTAGTTAGTTCCGGTTGTTACGTAATACATTCGTATAATAATACGATTCACCAACACATGCTCGTTCTTTTTTTTTTTAATATATTAATGAAATTTACGCAAACAAGGCAGTTTAAATATATATAAACTGTGTAAAATTTTGATAATCAACAAGCCCATCAGACTTCTTGAATTTTGATTTTCACTGACCAGACATCAAAATGCACTGGCCTCGGTCTTCGGACCAGTGAGTTTTCATGAAGACTGTTATACAATCATATAATAAATTTGATTGCTGGGTGTCTGTTGGATGTTTGATATTATGTTTTTATATCAAGTCAAATTTTCAAATACACTTGAAATGAAAATGGAGTAAGTTTGACATTCCATCATTAATGAAACTTCCGTTCTTCACTGCTGTAAAATTTGAGTGTTGGGTATGGGAAATGTAAGGAGAAGGAAAAAAATTCTAATATTAAATATATATTTTACAGTATTTACATTTGCTGTGTTTTTCTACTAAGCCAACTGTGAAATTGATTTGAAATTGATTTGAAAGTCATTTTTGTGTATACTCACGCATAGAAATATACACGGTGAAACTCGAGCAAAAGTGACATCACAATGAGGCTACAGAGACATTAATAAAAATGTAACAATATAGGGCAGCAAGAAATTCAAATATTGAGTATATTATTGGTGCTTTTAAACTTGTAAAATGTTAATATAAGGAATGTTTTTAAGTTTAGTGTGAATTATTGGTGTGTAAATCACACAGACTTGCACGTAGGCATATTTTTCATGAAGCGCTAGCGCGCTTCAAATATGCCTACGTGACAAGTCTGTGTGATTTACACACCAACAACTCACATAAAACTTAAAAACATTCCTTAAATATACTTTTGCAATATAAAAGACATGTTTTTCATGTTTCAGCCATTTTAGAATTTCAATTGGATTTTTTTGTCTCTTGTACATCATTTGTTATTTCAAGTTTGCAACTCGTACTTAAAACTCATATATTTTAGTTACTGTTCATAGTTAATAGTTTTTAAGCTATACATCATTGGATTTTCATTTACAATGTATTCTTTTATGGAAATAATACTCAGGCTAACTCAGCATATTCAGTATTTTGATATTTTTCCTTCTGTTTGTTCATAACTTAAGAACGTTTTGTTTTTGTACATGGATATTATACAAATAAAAATAGGGTAAATGGAAAATTGTAAATCTTTTTATTGGAATTGTTTTTTTTTCTGTTGTTAATGTTTAAATAATTTTTAGAACTGTCAGATTTGTTAAATTTGTACATGTACTAGTATAGTTACCCAATAGTGTTCAATTTCTTGAATCTGTATTGCAAACTTTATACAAGACACCACTGAAAAGTAGTCAAAATTTTTTCAGGAAAAGTTGCTTATCAGAACAAAGTTTAACGTAAGTTTTTCTGATTTAAGTTTGATCTGTAGTTTTTCATCTTTCATGATCACTTATTTGGACTTCTCCAGAACCAATAAGCTAACTCCAACCAATTTCCCAAAGATTATCCTTGGCTGCGGTGAATTCAAAGTTGTTTAAATGGAGGGTCATATCTCTATCAAAGTGGATATTAAAGTATTCTGGTATTATTTAAAAAAAAACCTAAACTAATCCAGAATAGAAAAAAACTTGTGTGAAAACTTTTTTATACTGTAAAACTTGCTAAATCCAGATGTCATCCCAGGAAAATATTTGTTGTCCATGAAGATATATGTTTGTTGTTTAACGTCTCTCTCAAGAATTTTTCACTCATGGAGACGCCACCACTTGCTGGTGGAGGGCTGCAAATTTATACCTATGCTCGGTACTCAGGGCCATTGAGCAGTGAGGGATCTTTTTTGTGCCAACATCTACTGTGACACGGGAACTTGGTTTATACAGTTTCATCCGAAGGACTACTCTCCACGCCCCACAGTGGATTCAAACCCGTGATATAATGATCAGCTCCTTACTCCACGACTCTAGAGCAGACGCTCTAACCATCCAAGAAGAAGGAAAAGTTTTATTCAGGAGGTGATAGAAAAAGTCCTGAATCTTTTCTGTAGAACAGCAAGGCTACAGGCAGTAGCACCAAAATAATACATAAGCATTTCTAGACTGCTCAAGTTATGGCACTCAGAGCCAGGGAGAAGGTGAAGAGAAAGATAACTCAGGTGCACATTGTGGCATATTAGCCTCTTATACATGTGTATTTTCAAATTTTTAAACTTTTAAGGTTTGTTAGATAAGTTTTAATTCAGCATAATATGTATATTGAATTTAATGCATTGTTTTAGCTTCCATATTTTTAAAAACATGGTAAAAGTTGCATAATCTTGATGTTTTGCATTCCAAAATCTTGCGTATTATGGTGTAAATTTTTAGTTTCTTTCATGAGGTTTAATTAATTTAAATTTTGTTAATCTTGAATGTTGTCTATCCAGCCAATAAATTTCTATGGAACCATTGGTGTCCAGATTAGACAAGATTTACTGTATTAGAGTCTTGCTTTGTGGGCACCTAAAGTTGATTTGTCTGCCTGTCTAATATTTTGAGTCAGCAGTATATTTTTCTCCCTTTGGCATAATTTTACATTATAATTACAAGTTGCCCATGGATAAAGGTTGTACAGTGACTTACATATCGGTGTTAAAATAAAAGTTCAAAGTAAAGATTGGACTCTGTATAAAAATCCTGTAAGGAGCATGTTTTCTCCCCTGACCCTATCTGCATTATATCAACTGCAGAGTCGGTTTGGGTAAAGGTGTGAAATAACCTTGATCAAAGTTTCTATTCAAAAGGTCAAGGTTAATACATATCTCTGTGTAAAATCTTTGCCTATTTTAACCCACAGAGTGCCTTTAGATAAAGACGGGACTGTGACCTTGATCCAAGTTTATTCTTATAAATGTCCAAGTCAAAACAGGTATGTGTGTAAAATCCTTTTCTTTCCCACTAACACTGCACTAACAAGTGCTCTTGAGTAAGGTTTCTTATTGAACAAGAACCAGCTATCTACTTTAAAGATCAAGATAGAAGCAATTCTTTGTGGAAATATTTTTTTATTTTCTGCTCTTGGACCAGTTATGTTCGTACTTCTAGTGACTGATATGTTTCTTGGTCAAAAGTCGATACAAGTCTGTATAAAATTCTTGTCTGGAAGCAGGTCTTTTTTAAAATCCTTGTCTTGAAGTTATAATTTCATCTTTAATAATATTGGTTCAAACTTCACCATAGAGTACATTGAATCAAGGGTGTGCAGTGTTTGAACCAAGTCAAATTTGAGGTTAAAGCAGATTTTTTTCTTGTCAATTCCTTTGAGATGGTGGTTATTATCAGATGCGTAATTCTAGTAGTTACTTACTCAATAGACATTACTTTCTAGAAAAAAAAATATACTCTTCTAGAAAAAAGATAATAAAACAAGCAAATTCAGGGAATTTTGGGTCTTATTGATTGGGATGTAATGATTTATGGCATTTTGTAATTGTCTTGTCAGTCCCTGGCTTGTGTAGATAACATGAAAAAAAAGTTGTATTTTGGAAGCAAAATAATTTGGTGCAAAAGTTATGGCCAAGATAAAGTTCTTGAAAGTCTAATTGGTCTAAGTCATAGGTCAATGTTACATAAATTTGTCTTGTTTCAAATTATAAATGTACATGTGAAAAATATGAAAGCCCTGTCTGTTCAGATGCAAAAGTTACGGTCAAGGTTAGAATTTCTGAAAAGTAGGTCATACTTCAAGGTCAAAGTCATAAGGTCAAGATTTCTCATATATGACCAAACGAAAAATTAATCAATTTTTTCTCAGGCACTGCCGCTTTAGGACACACTGCCGCATTGATTAATTTTTCTGATATATTGAAAAGGGAAATAACTCAATTATCTATTTTTCCAAGTTGAAAAAGATAATCGAGATACCCCTTTTCATACATGGTAATAGAAAGACGTTTAAATTAGTTAGTGATGGATAACACAATATATTTATGATCCCCAAACGAAGTTTGGGAACAAATTGTTTTTATACGCCTGTCTTAAGACGGGGCGTATTATGGTGTTCATGTCCATGTGTCCATCTGTTAGCTTTTTCGAGTCCCGCTCATAACTTAAATACTATTAGACCTAGAATTATCAAAGTTTGTCAGCTGAAACATCGGGTAGAAGGTGTGTCGCACATTAAAAGCACATCAAAAGTAAGATACTGCAATAATCTTACATTTTTTGGGCATTGTGTGATTTAAAAGAAAAAAAACATATAGTTTTTTCTTTCAAAGTTTCACTTAAAGGTCACATTGACCTTGAAGTAGGGTGCGACACACCTTCTACCTAAGACGCATTAATTGGCCAAGTTTGATGATTCTAGGTCTACTAGTTTTCTAGTTATGAGCTGCATTTGTAGACAGGATTTTTCCATATTTGGCCATAGCATCTTAATTAAAGGCCAAATATGGAAAAATCCTGTCTACAAATGTAGCTCATAACTAGAAAACTAGTAGACCTAAAATCATCAAACTTGGCCAATTAATGTGTCTTAGGTAGAAGGTGTGTCGCACCCTACGTCAAGGTCAATGTGACCTTTAAGTGAAACTTTGAAAGAAAAAACTATATGTTTTTTTTCTTTTAAATCACACAATGCCCAAAAAATGTAAGATTATTGCAGTATCTTTATTAAAAACCGTTCACGGTAGCTCAGTCGGTAGAGCGTTCGCTCCGTGATCGGGAGGTCGTGAGTTCAAATCTCGGTCGCGACTGACCTAAGTCGATAAAAAAATGGGTAGCAACTGTTCCTTCGCCATGCGCTCGGCACTTTGAAGTGAAAATTGCGGGTCCTTCGGATGAGACCTTAAAAACCGAGGTCACGGCAGGCGTTGGCACGATAAAGATCCCTCACTGCTCAGTGGCCCTGAGTGCCGAGTAAAGGTCAAAATTTGAAGCCCTTCACCGGTATATGGTGACGTCTCTATATGAGTGAAAAATTCTCGAATGGGACGTAAAACAACATACAATCAATCAATCTTTATTAAAAAGTGTTAAATCAAGAAAATACTTTTTTTCCATTACATATATATACTTTACAGCAATCTATAACAAATGTAATGTTTAAAGAGAAATGCCACCTCTCCCATGGGTGTATTTATCTAGCACAGGTCAAGAAGAGTTTTGATAACAGAAAATTGCATGTCAAATTAGAGAGAAATTAATGAGTTTAGTGTGAGGAGATAACTGGTAGAGCATCTGTGATCAAGCTCTTGGGAATTGGGCAAAGAAATCAGCCTCTTGTGTTGGATTAAATAGTAACTGTTGGCTAGCTAACTTTCAAGATAAAGGTGTAAAGTAATTAAAACTTACTTGTAATTGTATAATATAATTAAAACTTATTTGACATTGTATACATGTAATATAATTAAAACTAAGTAGATGGACGAACAAGGCGAGCGAAGTGCCTATAATGCGACAAACATGAAGGTGAAAAATTAAATCTCAATTATGACAAAATTTTCTTTGATATTTCATCTAAGGTTAAAGTATATTTTATGTAAAATCTCCAAAATTTGCAAAGATTGAAATTATTGCCTATGACATAGCATAAACACACTAAAGAGGGCAAAAGGATCATTTTCTCTATAACGCAATTTTTCGATATGAGTGGGTCTTTGCTCCATTTTTTTTTAGCTCACCTGAGCCAAAGGCTCAAGTGAGCTTTTCTGATCAAAATTTGTCTGTTGTCTGTCGTCGTAAACTTTTCACATTCTCATCTTTTTCTCCAGAACTACTGGGCCA